TTTCCGGTTTATTCACGGTACTTGACCAGCGTTTTTCACCACTGTTAATAACCACCAACATAACCAGAAATTTTCAACTGTAAACTCCCATAAAATGATCTACAAAGTACTCTCGACTTTAAGACCAATCAGTCAGAAACCATCAAAGATAAACAGTTAAGGTGACGACTATATTCTCCGTCGTCTGTCTGTTCCTTTTTCCTAGTATAGAGTTTTTTTATTAACCGTTTCAAGTTTGGAATGATATTTCTTGGTTAGTGTTTCCCATAGCTCGACCAGGTGTAAAAATAACAGAATCCCATCGAACTAGAAACTGTCGAAGGTATCATGACAGGTCGATAACTTGACTCGTAGGCGTTGTGCTTACGGGCGCTTGAAAATTACGTTCCCTCGGATCAAAATAATGTGTTGTGCGTAATAAAGGAGTGCCCCAACACGGAACGGTCACCTCCAGACTACTGACCATAATAAAACTTTATTGGACCCGTTTTAACTGAATCGGAATCAGGCAACATTGATTCTAAATTTACGAAACCTTATGACTTCATCAGTATATCTCGACTGTGCGTTTAAACTGATAGTAGTCCAACTAAGCTAAGTCAAGAACCAGATGGTCATCAACACGAGATGTTGTATTTCACAATTGTACAGTTAAGATACTTCAATTCAATGCGTTTCAAATGGAAATGATATGGTTTGTACAAGAAACGTGATGAGTTTAACTCATGAGATCGATACAGTTTAGAATTTGTAAGTAAATCAAAGTTTTTAGCCTGTAAGATATTAACCGTGTACTAATTAACATTGATTAATTAATACGATAATTTAATTCATGTTATGCAGTGTTTGAGGTCGGTTTAATATTAATGTTGAATTTTCAAGTAAAGCCTGAAGCAAATTTATCAACATTCGGTACTGATTAATGAAGAATCATAAATGAATACAAAGTATGACTGTTAATTGCAATTCTATAAATAATTTAGAATGAATAATGTTCGCTGTATAGCAAAAACTGGTTTAGAACTATAGTTCTACCAAATCTCAATAATAAATCAGTTAGGTATTATACTAGAAAGACGAGAATTGGTTATTACCCTATCATATTTTACGAGATATGTCACTCCCTATCGACATAATAACCACCAGCGTAAATTTCAAAGTTATAATTATCAACTGCGCCGTACATAATTTCTCAAGGTGGTCTTCCTGAATCCTCTTTATGACATGTTTTCTTATCAGTACCGATATACATTACAATTACCCAATGAATATTAGATCCTGCAATCCTCTATCGCAAAACTGGTTAATATTAATGTTGGACTTACTGAGAAGACCAAGATAACGTAGTTTAGTGTATTAAAGATAAATAATACTAAAAGGGGAAATTCAATTTAGACTTCAGCTTTATTGAAACTGCGAATCTAATGGCATACAGGGTATTACAACATAAATTGATATGACATGAGCGGAATAGTCTAGATTTAGTTACCTTGGGGCATCTAGATTGCACCAAGGCAATCTGGACGCCTCCAGTCTGCTGTGGATATTTCATTTCTAATCTGACAAATTCTCATTACATCATTAATGGAACCTTAATTGCTACTGTTGATCTATGATTTCAGGCGGTGCTTTCTGACGTTTAAATTTTTCTTCGCTGAGAATCAACATTTTTCCATAATTAAGTCAAATTCATTAGTAAATCTAAGAATGTGATTTTTAGATGTTTCTATTCATTTAGAAATGTATAATAGTTTGATTAAATAAAAATAACCTCAGTGCATGTATGCGTGAAGAATGGTACGAGTGGCAACTAACCAACAGACACTCATTGAAGCAAGCAAAGAGAAATGAAAAACTAGACCGCAGAGCTCTCTTCGGTGGAGAGAAGAAAATGACTCAGGAAGAACTCGAAAAGAACGGCAAGTAGCAGCAAAACAACATTAAAAAACATTGCTAGAATACTTCGCGTGTGTGCTCACTGAGGAAAAGATGACAAGTTCGTGAGCAAACCGCTATAGTGAACGTGTACAAAGCGCGTACTTACAAGACCAATTCAATTTTATTAAGACCGGATTTTTTTATTTATCTAAATCACCTTGAAACTTTTAAAGTAAAGATTGTACTTATATAAGAGAATTTTCACACGATCTTGATTAAGTTGGCTTGAATTAAAAACATGGTCGACGTTCTGGAAAATGCACATCACTGTAAATAATATAACGGAACGTTCGAGATATTATCGGAACGTATAGAAAAGTGTCTCATCCTCTCGCGTACCTCGCCGTAACGTAAACAAACGAGTAACGGGGAAAATTACGCATACAGTTAGCTTAATCAATGCCACACACTAAAGTAACAGTAATTAATCTCTGATAGTGTCATCGATCGACTCGTTAAGGCCTATTAGAATGTCACGGAAGCATCGGGTGGGCTCTAATAGTAGGTAGCTTCGAAATGGCTCATGATATACACATAGTTGTTTATAACACAAGCAAGAAAATTTCCTGCACTAAAGATATTCATATAATCAACTTTAAGCTTTTAATTCAATTCACGGATGATGTCCACTTTTTGCATACCATCCAGAATAAATGTTGCAGAAGTCTGTGAAGCATCAACCATTTAAAGTGGTTATATGGTCGGTTTGTTTCTGAGACGAGAGCCGGTTCATGCTTGTCTAACCTCAAAGCTCGGAAAACGTCTCGACCGTGACTTTAAAGTACTCCCCCAAAATAAAAAAAAATTTTAACCGCGAAAGGATTAATTTGCTTTGCTCTCGTTTATCTCTTTTACGTAATAACAATAACGATCTAAGTTTTAAAATGTGGTTGGAAAGCTTCAATGCGGTCGCATTCCGCGTTCTTCTGATTTAGATACGAGATCGTGCAAAGTTCAAGGATAACGGCGAGCTTACCGTTCCAAAGGCGAACACTTTTATACGATATCTTCGTCCGGGCGACGTATTTCTCAGATTGCATTGTGACTCCGGGCCTATTATTTGCGATATTTACGCCGAGAACTCGCATACTTTCCCTCTGTGCAGAGATCGCTCGCGCCCGTTTCGATACCTACATAATGCGCATCTGAAGATAATCTTATGCATTTCTGTAGTCTTCTGTAGCGTAATTCAAGGACACGACGGTGTTATCTAAAGGCCATCCGTGAGTTGAATATCGTAACTCAAAATGTGGCGCCGGCGCAAAATAATAATAAATGTAAATGAGACTAAATCAACGACAGACTTTATTATTTACTACACAAATATAAATCCCAACCTAACTCATAATTTTCTTGATTCTCAAGAGTTTCGAATAAAACGCAATGCGTATGATGCTTAAGACAGTTCAGAGATCGTGTCGGAAGGCTAAAGTTCATTTATTCATGGGATGGGAAAACTCGACATTTCCCAACAATTCCTTTTAAAGAGTACCTTAGAGATTATTGTAGTTAGACTAGGGTACAAGAATAAATAAAAAGATAAAATAAAAAGTACTAACTACAACGGGGTTAGTAATTACAATTAATTATCGTACGGTGTTGCTGAAATAAACGGACCAATCTTACGGTGACCATCGTTGTTGGTCGTCGTTCTTGGGTCTACCAGGTTTATTGTCCTCCCGTAGCGTTCGCAGGTCGATTCCCTGCCCATTTACGGGAGTTGTGTGCCTTAATTTACTGCGCTAGAGGAGCAGCGTGCCTTGTTATGGTCGTTTTTGTTCGGGAAGTTTTTCCTTTCAGCCTTTGTTGCGCAACGACAGCAACGACGTGCTAACGTTAGAAAAAAACTGGTAATTTGCGCTACTGTGCTGCTCATGGCTCCTAAACCTTTCGAAACAAGTTTTCCGGCATACTGTATTTAGCTTAGTATAAGACATCAAAATCGTGATTAGATATTTTATTATTTTAAAATGTTGAGAGACCAATTATTTATAACTAAAGACATATTTATGAGCAATTTTATTCCTGTGTAATTTTGCAACAGAAGTTGCAAAGAGAATGGCGGTTGTTTTACATGATAATGTAGGCGATCCATCAAGTTGATGTCTCCTCAAACGCGTTTTATATGATACTTATCAAACCGCTTTATCTTTCGCATTGCCTTTCTAAAGAGAAGTGACTTAAGTGTCGTCTACGACTTATGGAGAAAACCACCGGTAAGAATGTGTAATTATGACTAAACGGGCACTTTGTTCAAACACAATATTTTGCCTAAAGGCAATAACTGTAACTAATAAAAATATTGTCCTTGACATCTCGCCGCAAACCAAACGACCAATAAATATAACCACGTTTATACTATGGGGACGTCAAGGTTTTGTATAAAATATCCTTACACAAAACAGGCTCTTACGTAACCATGCCAGAATTCGCGAAACAGGAAAATTACGGTTGCCTTCTTCTCGTTTAACGGTACCGGAATGCACCATACAAGTCCTTAGAACCGTTTTCTGCCAACAAGTTTTCTAGAATATACTACGAAAGTATTTTTTTAAAGTAAGTCTCAGTTGAATTAGTTCTTTTTTCTTAGCATCGATGATTCGGGGAACGCAAATGATTTAAATTTCGAATTAAGGTCACGGTTATACATTTTTTTACGCGAAAAAACTAAACCAAGAAGTCAACCTTTCGCTGCACCCGTGATAGTAACTGTCGTCACGCAAATTTATCTGCACGTAACCCTACTCCTAACGGGCAAGCCTTAAACAGGTGCTTGTCACCTGAGAACCGCGCCGTGCAGAGAAACGGAAATGAATCTCTCGACAGTAATTTACTAGTTGACGGCACTTGAAAAATGACCGGCACCGAAATATTGCGGTTCAGGGAACAACTAAATTAACGAGGAGGTCTATGCACCAGGAAGAAACAACACCTAAAACATTAAAGAAAAAAGTTTACCAATAAAATTCTTATGTTAATAAGACAAGATTATCTAAAAACTTGAAATGGTCTATTACGAAAGAGATGATTCTCTATTGGTTTAAGCCGAAAAGCACGATCGTCCCATCAAAAATCATATTTCTTCTTATGGATAATCCCGGGAAGTCAACGAACTTGACACTGACGATGATGCGTTGCCGCCGGCAGTCAGTCAGCGTTGAAGCCTTTCTTTCTTGTTGTTTCTCCTCAACCGCTCTGAAGAGTCCACGATTCAGACACGGTTTCCGATCTCGCGGGCGTATTCCGCTTTTATATAAATTCCAATCACGTGCTTCCGGTCTTTATACATACGTAGACGAAGGAAGAAATATGAAGAATGTGTCACCAAGAGTCATCGACGTCATAGAAGGAGAAAAAAAACAACACCAGAAGAGACAGAAAAATGTACGGTAATAATTTTTTAAACAATGGAACATAAATTCTTTTTCCTTCTAAATACTGCCCTCAAGAAAACGTTTGTTGGGTATTGTACTAAAATTGTTACGGGTGAAGTTATTATAACACTTTCACTACTTGTTGAGGGAAAAAAATAGAATCATGTGAAAATAAGAAATATTATTTAAAAATTTAAATGTTATCTCACATACCTAGTTGAAACCATACAATAACTTTTTGATAGTAAATCATAATACTCCCACACGATGCGCACGAACATTTGCAATACCTCCCATAAATATTTTTTATTTATATGTAAAAAAATGTTCATTATGACCTCCCAGTGGGTAGCTGGCTATACACAAGCTTATGGCGCCGTTTCGTGCCGACAGTAATATAAGCGGGCAGTACTGCTCGTAGAGTCTTTTATTCGCACATTCAAGAATTATTATTTATTATTATCTGCCTTATTGCCTTTCTATTCTACGCAGGTAATGTTATCCTAGACGTTGGAGATCCCGAGAGCCGACAATAGTCTAACTAAGGAGATGCTGTATCATTCTCTTCGTGTCGTGATGTAATCTTAATTATTCAATAACGCGAATTGAATTATACGGTGGCGGCTTGTAAAAAATTCGATACCCATTGTAATTGAGGTGTAATTAGTTTTGTACAAGTTCTGTATTGTGTAATATTATAAATGTATACTATACAGTAGTTGATGATGTTAAATTAGATATAATGGTACTCATACAATGTATCGTAGTATAGATACTAATCGGTATTTAAAAACAAGAAGATATGGAGTTTTCTACGAGGAACAAATTTTTCCCACATATAAAATGGAAATTATCCTATTGAAGCGGTGAATGTAATAAACACAAGATTTCGATTTGATTGGAGTTGTAGAGGTAATCGCGTTTCGATTGTGGCCGATTTAGCGCGGGCAAATGTAACGGGAATGCAACAACCAGAGAGAGGCCATTTGCATCCGTAACTGTTTGTTTTAATGGTGGCAAATTCATATCCAGTGAGTGAGCAGTGTAACTGTACGCCGGTAGGCGGCAGGTGATTTGGTTCAAATCTCTTCGGCGCTGGTCCGCCGAAGGGGACGAAAAATTCGCCAATTGCACGCCCACGGAGATCACAGAATGTAATTTAAGCGCACATAGCCAACGGTCGTAAATCGCTCTTTATTAACTATCTAACTGTATACTCTAAGCCCGGTAAGTGAGTAGTTTAGCACCAACTTGCAAATTGACAGAGTAATTCCTATATGGTAGATATTATGATTACGTCACGTGTTAAACGTAGATCTCTTAAACTTTATAATATATATTTAATTGCTTCATTATAACAGTTATTTTCATACTATATAAATTTGTGTAGATATGAAAAGAGCTTATTACCACCTCATGATGATGTGCATAACAGTAAAATCCTTTTAAATACTCATTAGGAGAAACATAGGTGAATGCTTGGGTTTTTATTTCTAGAACGCATGGGATTTGCATTATTAAAATTCCGTTGCGGTACGCACACTTCTCCGGGTCCCCGTTACGGTCTGCACGTGAGTAACGCGCTTCAATACATAACAGTAACGCTGCGAACTTTCCTAACAATGTTACAATTACCTAGTGATCGTCGAATGCATGTCGGAAATTCTTCCAACCACCTAACAGATCTCTCCTTCCTTGAACGTTGATATTCAAAGATCCGTTGTTCAAATTGCTCTATAACAAGCTTGTAAGTATATAACATCATACCAAGGTGTGTCTCTTGTTATTTAATAAAAAAAAAACAATTGACCTACATAAATCTGTTAATACCTCAATTTTATTTCTTATAAAGGTTTAAAGGAAAGAATACTATCCGTAAGCGGTCAACTAGATCATATTCTATTTCTGTTCTGGGCAACACCCACAGCCTTTTACGACCGTTCTATAGGAAACTCTACCGCATTAAACTGTATAATTTGAACATTAGCTCCGGTACTCCGTAAAGCTATTATAATCGAACTGCACAAAAGCCTATTGAAAGTGATTCATGATGTGTTTCGAAACGCTGCCCGGGTTTTGTTTGATATAAACGTTAGCGGTGTTAATCAACTCGAGAAAGGATAAACCATTGCTGGTTAGTTACAGTCAGATCAAGACATTCATAACTTGTCAATTTGGTAACTTTTAGACTATTTTGATGATAAGCTTACTTATTCTGATTGGTTACAATAGTTCCAATCAATTAAACATTACATGATACAAAATACTTACTTTTATAAAATAAGTCATATTTGTTTTCTAAGCGGTGGAAAAGATTAGTCTATAAAATTTAAGTAATTTCCATCATACCATCTTTAACGTTATCATATATTAACTTCCAATCAAACCAAAATTTACAGGAACCTAGGCAGAATTGATAACAGACGATCTTGACCACGAGGTTGAAGTACGGACCCGTATAAAATATGCCAGATCCGCTTTTCAAAGAATGAGAAGGATATGTCCAGGGAGAAGAAAATGCTCGTGGTTGAATAATATAAGGGACTGGATAGGCATGGATAGGTGCATTATTGAGAACAGCACAATACTACCTAAAATTGTGAGCGTTAACAATGGCAACAAACACAAAATATGATTTCGTATGATGTGTTATATTTAACTCCCGAAACTGTTACATTACTAATATGAGCAATAATGTAACCACGGTGAAGATAAACAAGGGTTCAATTATGCAGAAAACAGAAAAACGTGAAGAACAACAAGAAGAAAAGAAGATCCTCCTACATGATAGGCTGATTCTGGCTTTAAATTGAATTCTTGATTAGTTATTGTGAATAGTGATAAAAGAATTTCATATAAGGCGTTTGAAGGTAATCTAGAAGTTGGCTGATTCAACTAAAATTTTGTACAGCTTGCTTATGCCTGCTGCTTAAAAGACTAGAATGGCAGCGACAACATTATGACCACCAGTCATCTTGCTAAAGTTTAAAATAGAAGTACTCAACAATTTTTTCAATCTTCGATCACTTTATTGCTTAGAACACTTTTTGATAGGATATAAGAAAGAAATTAATTTTGGAAATGATTTTGAATAGTTCAAGTACTTAAATAGATTAGATAACCATGTTCATCATAGGTTGGTTTATAACTTGAATAACTAAATACATAATATTGTCACTAATTCCGCCTTGGCAGAAAATGGGTGATTTGAGTAGTTCGTCAGCTGTTATTGCCGGTGTTAATCTCGGATAAAGGAGAGGAGAGTTTTCAGGTGAGATTAGTAGCTTGCAAGTACTAAAAAATATTCTACTCTCAAGAATATCGCATTGGAATACAACATAATGGAATAATAGAGGCCAGGAAATTATTATCGAAATAAAAAAGCAAAAAATTGATATTGGTGGAATATCAGAAATAAAAAGAAAAGCAATCTATCGCGAAAAGGCAAAATAGGAAAAAGTACAGTCTGGAGTAGGCCTACTATAGCATACTGGGTAATATCCCATCACCAGGTGGAATCAATCAGGGGACAGCTTAATCTCATTCTTGTTTAACTTGATAATAGACAAAATTTTACAGGAGATGTCGTCATTCAATTTTTGCTACAGAATCAACGACGATAAATAGGATGATAGCCCAACGATGCAGCAGTTACGAAACAGAAGATGATGCACAAAGACAGCCATTCTATCAAGTCAGCCAAGAACTAAACATAACTATATCCATCGATAAAACAAAGAACCAATTAGTTGTAAACTTGTGGTAGAAGAGAAGCTTATCGAACAAGTTAATCAGTTTAAATATCTCGGACTAGATTCTTCAGCAGCCATATCCCAGCAAAACATTTTAGAAACTAGATCGATAAAGCAGAAGCCTGCCTTGAGGTAGACAAAGAAGAACAGGAAAGTACGACGATCATGTGAAGAGTGAATGAATGCAGAATGCTGCGTATACTATTAGAGGGAAAATCAGCGGGGACTTGAACACCAGGAAGACTAGCCAAAAGATGGTTCAAGGAAGACCACAATCCCCACTTCGGCTGAGAATTCAGAATTCATCAGAAAAACATGTCTAAAATAAGTTGGAAATATATACCATCATTTATGTTATTAAGATAGATTTAGCATTATTATATGTATGTTACACACGCATTAAAAGCAGCAAACAATTCTCAATCACAATCCATCATGCAACAAAAGCAATTGCTAATGATGGCTGAGTATATCTTTGCTTGTATTAGCTCTCAGCTTGTTTCAATATCTTTTGCTTTTAAGGTCCATCAATGATTTACAAGAGGAACAAATAAATCCCAATGCTTCTTACTGACTTCAAATACCTTCTAAAAGCAGCTAATAGATTGATTAACCAACGATATCCTATTTTCCTCAATGTCTTTTGTTTCTACTAACTCCCAGTTGTATATCGTTTGTCTATATCTCTTCTAATTGGTTCAAATGATTCCATTTGATTCCTAATTGCTATTAATAAGTTGCAATGTTTTTGTACATATCGGAACTATGTGAAGGTTGACTTTCTTCTTTAACAATTAAGAATAAATGTGAGGATTAAGAACTAATCATTCTTGCCTCAGAAAACACTTGTATGTAATTATATGATATAATGAATAGAGTATTTAGATACTTTGTGACAAAGTGAAGGCAAAAGGAATATGAAACATTCACATTATTAATATTGATGCTCTAAGTTTGTTCAAAAATAAATTACTGTTCATACATCATGTTTCCATAATCGTATGAGTCAATTGTAACCTTACGTTTCTATAAAATACTAAATCTAAGTATGTGTAAAAAGACTTACCGTTTGTGTTATCAGCCATATCCATACGACTAACGGAAGAATAATCTTCATTTTCGCTGTAATCAAAAACAAAAGTAAATAATTAGTATTCATGTTAAATCTGCCATAACCATCATTATAATGGCACGCAAAGATGCAAAGGAAATTAATAGACGTATAGCCCGTGCCTGATGTAATTAAGTTTTAATAACAAGTTATAGTGGTCGTCTTCGTCGGAAAATTTTTTTTGAAAAGCCGAAAGGGCCGATTTTAATTATTTGATAATAACGTTAATTAAACCGTTTCGCTACTATGTAAATTGAAACGCCACCTTTTCTCTTTTCAATTTAATGGTTAATAGTTTCTAAATATAGAAAGATCGCAATGACACATGGCGGAACCTATAAAATACAAATTGGTAGATCGGTATCTTTGATGGGTTTGTTTTTATTTTAGCAAGTATATTAAATCGAAGATTTTCCATCAAACAGAATATATTTAAAATTGAATAAATTTACAATTCAGATTAAAATTTTTTGTGAATGTACATTCCTAGACGATCATATATCATCAAACCAGATAGCGGACTCATGAAACATTCATCAAACCACAATAAAGCGCCACAGCTAATGGCTGCTCCCTTAATCAATTATCGAACTCGAGAGAAAACACTCCCACGACTAATATGTCCAATCGCGAACAATAATTATTGTGTTGTACCCAGAGAGTCGTTTATCGAACAGTAATTGTGTAACGGTTTGTTTACGGGTCGAACCTCCGACAATTAAGCTTTAGTATTTTAGATTCGTTACCAAAGACTCGACCGATTAAAATTCCAAATCCAAATAAGCAAACAATGGATCGTGAACTCCACCCAAATAATTCCCAGAAATTTTCTAAAAACAAAACTTAAAAATGAGAATGTCAAAGATATGTTAACACGATAAAACTAGCAATCAATAATTTTAATATCTTTCTCTATCAGGAAATGTTTATCATTTCTTATACAGGAATGAATTTCCTGGATGTTTGAGAAAATTCCTCTCCGCCACTTAAACATTCCGCCATCCTATTTATTTAGTAACAGACATTCCCGGTCGATTTTACTTTCGAAACTCGCGATCAATAACGGCGCGTTGCTTCGATAACAGTAAAACGACCGCCTTTTCGCCTGCTGCGCTACGTTTAAAGCCGGACTCTTCTCATGTAAATGATCGACGGGCAGCGATTACGTGAAAACGCGTGTCGCATTAGCAAATCCGCTAGTCGCGGCGCAACGATTGCATAATACTGGGACGAACGCGAAGTTTATGAGTTTCTTCGCTTCTTCTCCGTCTTCTTTCAGCTTTCCGCAAAACGGCTACGACAACGACCCGAAGGCAACCGAAGCAATTTGTATTTCGAGGTAACTGTAACGATCATTTTACTTTGCTGCGGTTGATCCGTTCGTGTTTAACTTACGGCCATAATAAATACACAGCTTACATGGCTTTTTACTCTCAATAATATATTTAAAATGAATGATGAACTATTAGAAAGGTACATTAGAAGTTACATTACATTACATTTACATAAATTACATATCGGGTAGGCGGACTAACCAACCTTGCATGGCGACCCTAAGGATCTACTATACTCTACATTCAGATAATTTGGGGAAATAAACTGCGACCCAAAAATCGAGAATCTGATACGATTAACAACAGGGCAGTGGCATAGAGACAAAAGAGATATATGCACAGCTGAATCCAGAAATCCCATTACAGAAAATTTCTTTAAATTGCTGAAATAACGATGGGGGTAACAAAACATTTACTCGTCCTTGCAGAGTTTATCAACAAAACGTGAAATTATCTGCCATATGTAACATTTCCAAGAAGAGGAAAATACCTGTGAGGTATTGGAAGAATCAGAATAATCCAATTTTGTATGCATAAATCCCCATTATATAGGCTTCGTTCTATCTACAACTACGACGATGCCTTGTTAGGGATGTTCTTCATTGTTAAAATAGTCTTCGTTATATTAGTCAAATCGATCCATTAGAATAATTTGAGGTTCAGTTTTTTTCTATTACTTATATCAATGACCTTGATTCCTATCTTAACTGGAGTTATTTATGTATACATATATGATACCCCTGTCATAATGGACTAAATCAAAAAATTAGTCTAATCTCGTTACAGCAGATTGTGGAATTATGTAGAGTTGTAATCTGAATATAAATGTTAAGACTTTTATTAACAATAATAATTTATAGCAAAAAGCAATAAAGTTGTCAGAGATGTACATATACCTCTTAGTCTGAAAATGTTGAATACCTGCACAAATCTGGGACCATAACAATTTTTAAAGAACGTATTGTATTAGGTGCATTTGAGATGAGGTATCGTATGCCAAGGCATCGTATTGCAACAAAGTAAGATTTAACGGCTCCAACGAGCGCAACAAACACTGCAAGCTGCAACCCACTATTTCTACAAAGAAACCTACTTAGCTTACTTTCATTATTCATCCTCAGAAGTCTCGTTTATGTGCACTCCTTCGAAGACTCGCTAAAAAAGGTTGTGTTAAATACCTTTACAAAACTCTTCTTGCGGCAGATGTCACTTGCAACAATGTAGAGGAGACCTTTTATCCACATCGGAAATGAAAATTTATTTTTCATTTCGTAATATTTCTAAGTTTTAGGTCTAAATTACAGTTATATGACCTTATCTGGTTGACCTGACATTTAAACTTTTAGTAAATTATTGTAAAAACTAGATTATTGGTGGTTAAAGCAAAGTTAATATGCGCAGAAAATTAATTCGACTTATTTTCTTGTCCTCTCACATTATAATAATGATTCTTAGTCAGCAACGGTTTTTAACGATCGCGGTCTTGGGTTTTGTAATGACCGACATTGCCTCTTAATAATGGTTATCCTTGCCACGCCCTTGAATATGGACACACAGCCCGAAGATATACGCGATTCCCGACGTGATTTACGTAAAATCGCAAAAGTCGTGTGACCGATGCAACGCCTCGTTTCCAAGCTGGTTGCTCTTAAAAGTAAAAATATCGACGGGGCACAATTATCCGAGCTTGTATTAATCAGTAAAAAGCTGCTTTAATAACCGTTATTAAACACGATAACAAGGGTATAGGGCCTCGGGTGCACTAGGCCATGAATATTTACGTTAATTACCGATGGCTATACGCCATCTAGGACAGTTTCTCAAGGCGAAAATTTTCTAGCCCGTGGTATCTGCGTACACCAATTAAATGGTAATCAATTCTGCAGCATGACAATTAACGAGTTTTATGAATTTACTGAAAATTTACTTTTAATAATATTCCTTCGCAGCACAAGCAGTTAGTGTGGGTATTTTGAAGTCTTAATATTAATTTTATTTCCAAAAAAAAAACATGTTTGCAGCCTACTCAACCAAAAGAAGCTTTCCTTACATTCCTATTACGTTGGATTAAGTCGTTAACATTCACATGTTCTTCGTTGCGCCTACGTATACATTAAGTCGTAACGAAAATTTTATTTTTACTCTCTATGCGAGAGAAAGAAACCGACGTGATGGCAAAAAGCAATTCAATTTTGTAACGTTCAGTTTCGCCTTCGGCATTTCGACGTGTGTGTGTGATGATAACCGGTGATTTTGTGGCAACCTCATTCACTTAGAACTGCTCGCTAACTGCTCTTTGACTTTGATTCGATATTATCACCGTTGATTGCTTAGGCATCGAAAGAAGCTAGATATTTTCGTTACTTATTACGGTGGTATTGTTTGTTTTAGTTTCGTTCTACTCATTATTGTGTACGAAGGTTGCTGCTGTCGCCTATACTTTATTTCCTGCAATCATACTTACATCTTTTTATGCAACGATATAACTACTTAAGGTTATATCTAAAGTTAAGCTACGATATATCAGTTTTTGTGTAATGTTAAGTATTTATTAATGTAACTTAGACAATCGTTGTGCCCTTCACCAGGAGACGAAAGTTGGATGGACTAATCCGCCCAACGATCCAATAAAGAAATTCCTTTCTCAAAGGACGTCAAATATATAAGGGTAATCCTTATACAACACCCTCTCATGGAATGGACATTTGAAGGGAGTATTACACAAAGTTAAACTATCCTTGAGGACTTGTCGTAGTCTTTGTGGAAAAAATTGTACTGGCTTTATATCACTGTGGTTAGAACTATGATCACATATGGAGCAGCAGCCTGGTATAGGAAAGCTATATCAAGCTGCTACCGTGGCTTGAGTTCCTTGTTCATCTGGGGGTTGTTTTAAGGGGGGTGTGTATGGCGTTCAAAGAAATGTATACAATGGTCTAACACGTATATTGTAGCACAAGATATTCGTTTTGTGATTTAGAGTCTGCCCGTTTATTGGCAATATAATTTAGTATACCCTCAATCTTCTACTTTGTTTACTAGAATTTGCCAAATTGTTGGCAGCATGAGTTATTGTACCTCTAACCTTCTACCTTGTTTTCTTGAGTCTGCCAACTTATTAGCAGCATGAGTTATTGTAGCCAAAGAGATTTGTTCTGTCGTTTAGAGTCTGCCTACTTGTGGAAAAAATTTGTCTTAATTATAAGATATAACACCTTCCACCACTCGCTGTACTCTTTCTTTGTTTAAATGTAAATAAGCGTTGCTCCTTCCCTTAATCATAACCACTTGTTCATATTACAATAAGTTAAACTATGATAAAGCTGACGAATTCGCTCCTCTAACATTGGAACTACCATTTCCGTTAAAAATAACATCTTAATCTACAAAGCACAAAATTAAGTTTATTTTTAAACTTACAAAAACAATAATTGTCGTAAGAAATTGTAGCAAGTAATTTTTTAAACCGTTAGATTTTGTCAATTTACAAAACTACCTCCAATTAGTAACACCAAACATCATTACAAGACTTCTAACGTAATTTGTACTTGTATCTTTTTTTTATGAACCCACAAAACAAACGTACCCATTAGTTGATGGTCAATTTGATGGCATGCAACCTTACAAGGACATCACCACCCGGTAGACGGAAATAAAAGAAAACGATTACCGAGTATGTATGTTGAGCCCGAAGCGATACACAATAATGCTTCTTCTCTTGGAAAACTGTCATTACGGTGTGAGCGTAGAATGGAAATTCAATTTGGAATCGCAAGAAAAAAGGGTCTCTTTACCATCGACAGTATACATTGTACACCGTAAATTGCTTTACGCGATGCGCGGTTTGACATTGAAGAAAGTTAATGTAATGGAATGACAAAATGTATAACGTTGACGATGGTGAGATTAAAAACTATTTTTTATTAAATGTTTATTATAAGCTGGTTTTGGCGACCTAAATTTAAGCAAATGTCATGGGTTGAATGAATTAGAATGTTCTTTTATTAGAATTGTTAAATTTATCATTTATTAGATGATTTAGTATTAAAAATCTTTTTTGGTGATTGATAAGTCTTAATAGGATTTCTAACATTTCACACCTGGCAGGTTCCTTATATCTACCTGCAGTATCTCTACCTGTAAATTATGTATTTACGGTCTAGTGAATCTCACAAAAGATTCCCTTAATCATTTCCGCATAATAATGACTTAAAAGCGTATAAAAACCACGTGGGAACACGTGAAGTGAATAGAATGATTCACAAAATAAATATTAAACGATTTATTGTGAAATAATTACGCAAAATTTTTCTACAAGCATCATTTAATAGATTTTACGTATTATTTTTAATGATTCTTTAGAAAAGAAAGTGAAAAACTCAAATCGTTAAATTGTCTTTCGATTTCGATGGCATCGCGTACTAGCAAAACCGTAAAAGGGTGGCACACTTTCTCTTCTTCCAGTTACAAAATTTTAGCAGCGCAGTATTTAATCGAATCGTTTTCGTGGTGAGTAGTCATCGTCGTCGTTCGAGAGAAATCGTCGTTAAATTTTCGGGTCACGTTCACAACCGCGTCTATTTACATCCTGCCCGTACTTTTTCCCATTTTCTTTAGCTCAGTTGAGGCAATAATGTTATTACCGACCACATTTTGTAATTTGTACCACGTTTGAAGGTGGCTTCAATAAAAAGAAGGAAGTGATGATGATGATGATGACCTTGATTTTAATGTATCAAAAAAATTTTGAAAAAAACTCTCATTAGAATCCGGTTGGATTCAATAAAAAGATTGATTAGTCAAAAAGATGTATAGTAAATTTTTTTTATTAATAAATACATATTTATTTAAGGTGTGAAAGTTAACTTTTGTGCTCGTAGCTTCTATTTTAAAATTATACTAGGTGAAAGTTTTTTGTTCATTTTGTTAGTGTTTCTTTGTGCTATCTTAATTGCTAATAATGTTAACCCGGTAAGATACGGCCCTAGTTATTTTATCGTTTCTCATTAACGTTTGTAACGATTATTTTAACAACGATTTTCACTTTCAGTATCGTATAACGAAAAATCGAATCGAGTTGAACACGAGCTTTAAATTACAAGACCCTTCGCGCTCACCAGGTAAAGGGGTCGAATTGGTTTCTTTTTTGTGAACTGGCTATCTTTAGCCTTGGCCGGTGTCTTCGGGGTCGTTTTTATACTAAAAATGGAACATTAAAATTCCGCTAGCATCCCAACGGCGAGAGCGTTTAACGACATACGCGTTATGCATTCCCGTGAATCTCTTCACCATTGTTTAAGTAGGAGCAGGTTTTTAAAAATAGCCAGCATCAACTGAAAGGGTATGACTAGAAATTCTCACTATAAAAAAATTATTTAAGACTATAATAAAAAATTGTTTATTTTCTTTCTAATAAAAAGCCTAGCTTGTTAACGGCACAAAATGACGGAATGAAAAACTATTAGATTGATTCTAAAGAATTTTGATTTCTCAGAAAAGTTAAATGAACATCCATTTTATGGTTAGATTAAGTTGATTCACGGTTCGTAAATTTAAATACCTGAACTATCTCGTTGAGCTGTATAATATAAAAAAACCGTTTTATTCAAATTTAAAATCGTGCCTGAAAATTATGTGGCCAAGTATTTCACATTTAGGAGTACAACGACCTTTTGAACTAAACAGTTATTAAGCTTGAGAACTTTTGTTTTATAATATGAACAATTTTTACGTAAATTTAAAAATGTGTTGTTTTGGGTTTTACGGTCGGATAAAAAATAAACATTTTATATTTTTATTATAAAACTGGAAGCTGGATTGCTAATGTCTTATGGAGGCAATTCTAATATTCTGGATTGGAAATCCACAAGCTATCAGTTTAGGATATGCAACAACTTTTAATCGTAGTACTCAACATAAGCACACTCTTTAACCTATTTAATTTTTTTTCCATTTCAAAGACCTTGTACGGATAGGCCTTCCTGCAACTGGTGGCACTGCAGCAAAGTGTTATCGCTGCAGCAAAGTTTATATTATCGAAATATTAGAACATTTTCACGATTTTGTAAAGAGTACATCCAAATCAACAAACCTAATTTTTGCTGGTCATGGAATATTGCAAAACCAGAATGAAATATGGCTTTTAAAACAATTTCCACATACCAGTGGAAGACTTTATATGCTGAATAAGTAGATGTATAAACATTTTAACTAGTATTAAATAGATTATATTCAAAAACGTCTGAACTTTGCACAAATTTTGACCAACCTCATCCAAATCTATCAAAATGAAAACTTTTACCTACATTAGCTTGAAACATGAATTCACATGAATTCTTGTAAAAATGGAAAGATGTTGAGGTATTAGCAATTAAGATGCCATCCTTCCAAAAACATAACAATAGTAATAACGGTGATAATATGACTTGCCCTAATCATTGTAACATTCCAGTATGCGGTAAATGATTCCAATTTCTAGTAGGTTTTTTCAGAATACACTTGTTGCGTGCAAAATTCATAATTCTAGTATCCTAAGTTTATATACAGTTAACGTAGTGATTAGGGCCATAGTGGGTGATGACAGTAACTAGGACATAATTCCAGTATAAAGTCGATGATTTCAGTGTCCATTTGTTGAGTGCAGTTATGATTGGTTCAAAATTCAGAAGTTGGATACAATTTACATATAGATCAGGCTTTACAAAGTTGATTGCAGTATCTCTAATGATTGTTTTAGTATTCAGAGGTCGAATATAGTTTTCATAGTAATTAGACTTGAAATCTAGTTGTTGTGAATGATTTCACCATACAGTAGACGATTCTGGTATTCCGTAATTGGGTTGGGTTGGGAGTATCTATAGTAATTCGTTTCAGCGTCCATAAGACAGATACATACCTTGTGCTTTGAACCATAAATTAGTGGTTAACTTCAGAATGTCATGGATGATTTCAGTTTTTGTTCTAGTATTTAGATGTTGTTGAGACATGACTAGTGACTTTAGTGAATTTACTCTATCTAAGTTCTGAAGTTCCATAGCGATTAGCGCCAGAATTTGGTGGTTCACTTCAGTATTTAATGGATGATGTAAATATGTAGCATATGATGTGTGTGATTATAGTACCTTAATGATTTCAGCATTCAGAAGTTAGACATGGCTTTCATACTAATTAGACCCAAAAGCTAGTAGTTGTATGATTCGTATCAATAGTGATATACACAGCTTCCTTAATAATTAGAACTAGAATATAGAGATTGCTTCCTGCATCTGGTGAATGATTTTACCATTCGGTTGATTCCGGCATCTAACGCATCAATTCAGTATCGTTAGTTATTAGAAACAGAATCTAGTAGTTAATTCAAGAATATAGTGGATGATTCCAGAGTCCAGTAGATGATTCCAACATCCAGTTGTTAGATGCAGTATCCATGCTGATTCGAACTGAAATATAGTGTTAATTCCAGCTTCAGTACCAGATCATTCTGAATCCACTTCTTGGATGTAGTTTTATACAGTGTGATAGGTAATTGATTTGTATTATGGTAGACGATCCCAGTGTTCTCAAGATAATTCTATGTCTATTGAATAATACTATAACCCATAGTATTTAGCAGCAGTATTCATACACTAATCCAGTCAAAATGTAACAATATATGACATTGCTAACCTTGTAGAAATTCCGCATCCAAAAGCTTGTATTTGGTCTATAAATAGATTTCTTTTAAGGACGATAATATGTTGCGATCTGAATTAACAGATAGGCTACAAACGACATTCATTGAGTGTCCAAACTCACAACTACAGACGGTATTGGTGGATACCGTCTGTACTACAGCATTCGTCAAATATCAGCCAAATTCACATGATTATTATTAATGCATCAATGTAACGGCGCCTACTAAAAAGTTGATAGCTCCTTATTGAATTCACAACATATAATATATTCGAAAATCTAATGAGTTCTAATGAATCCTATTTTATTTATGTTTTTATAAATGTTGTGAAATGAATTTTATTTCTTGAGTTGGCCATTATATATTTCAAAGTTGCCACGGAAACTATACTTGTCAAGATAGACAAAATAATTTTTAATTTCATCTCTCACTAAACTTTACATTACAATGAGAGAAATTGTGCATGTACAAGCTGGTCAATGCGGAAACAATATTGGAGCTAAAGTAATATTTAAAATTTGAAGATTTTTATCACAATAATTTTTTGTTTGTTTTAGTTTTGGGAAGTAATTGCTGACGAACACGGTATTGATCCTACCGGAACTTATCACGGCGATTCCGACCTCCAATTAGAACGTATCAACGTGTATTTTAATGAAGCAACCGGAGGTAAATACGTGCCACGAGCAATTTTGGTCGATTTGGAACCAGGGACGATGGATGCGGTCCGTTCAGGTCCTTTTGGACAAATCTTCAGACCGGATAACTTTGTTTTTGGACAAAGCGGCGCTGGTAATAACTGGGCGAAAGGACATTACACTGAAGGTGCGGAGTTGGTTGATTCAGTTTTGGATGTAATTCGAAAAGAAGCAGAAGGATGCGATTGCATGCAAGGTTTTCAATTAACACATTCATTGGGAGGTGGCACTGGTTCGGGTTTAGGAACACTATTGATTTCTAAAATACGCGAAGAATACCCAGATAGAATTATGGTCACCTTTTCGGTTGTGCCGTCACCGAAGGTTTCTGATGTGGTTGTGGAACCTTATAATGCAACCTTATCGGTACATCAATTGGTGGAAAATACTGATGAGACTTATTGTATAGATAATGAAGCTTTGTACGATATCTGTTTTCGAACTTTAAAATTAACAACTCCGACCTACGGCGATTTGAATCATTTAGTGTCTGCTACACTATCAGGAATAACCACGTGCTTACGATTCCCTGGACAATTAAACTCTGATTTAAGAAAATTAGCTGTTAATATGGTACCGTTTCCACGCCTTCACTTCTTCATTCCAGGATTCGCGCCATTAACATCGAGGGGTAGTCAACAATACCGAGCTTTAACCGTTCCTGAATTAGTTCTTCAAATGTTTGATGCTAAGAATATGATGGCAGCTTGCGATCCTCGGCATGGAAGATATCTAACTGTTGCAGCTATTTTCCGTGGACGTATGTCAACAAAAGAGGTTGATGAACAGATGCTTAATATTCAAAACAAAAACAGCAGTTATTTTGTTGAGTGGATACCCAATAATGTTAAAACGGCTGTATGTGATATTCCACCAAGAGGATTAAAGATGTCGTCGACGTTTATTGGGAATACCACTTGTATTCAAGAACTGTTTAAGCGTGTATCGGAACAATTTACAGCGATGTTTAGAAGGAAGGCTTTTCTTCATTGGTACACTGGTGAAGGAATGGACGAAATGGAATTTACTGAAGCTGAATCGAATATGAACGATTTGGTATCTGAATATCAACAGTACCAAGATGCAACCGCCGAAGAAGAAGGGGAGATTGACGAAGAAGAAGAAGAAGGGTGATAAGATATTGTTAAGAAATTAAGATTTATCCTGTGCAATTTAGCACGATTTTAGGTGTGATTATTAGCTTATTTTAAAAATATAAGATTTATTTTATTGTATTCTTAAAATCGTAATTTGAATTTATTTTCGACAGATTTTAATGAGGGAAAAAATCATTAATCAATTGAATTAGATTGACCTGTGTTATTATAAATCAGCCTTCGAATAGGGATCGGTGAAAGTGACCAATCTGGGTAGTACCGTTTTAAAGAACCGGAGATCAATGTCTGAGATAAAATTCATGAGCCGAAACTACCTGTTGGCCCTCTTATGCCCCGGTTTTTTAAACGAATCAGTTACGCGACCTTGCGGCAAATTTTCGGGTACCCTTCAATTAACGGTATTAAAAAAAGTCAGGTATGGTGGTTTAATTCGTGTATTGAACCCTTTTTGAACGAAGCCGAGTTGTAAAATCCAGTTACGTAACGGTTATTCATAACAAGTTTTCAAACTAATAATTTGGAATAAGTATTTTTTTTTATTGGTTTCAGTTTTTTATTTGCTTTTAAAGAAGATATTATGTGAATTATGTTCTTTTAGATTAAAATCAAATTGTAATAATTGAAGGAACCTTAACGGAACTAAATACCAAAATGAATACCAACAAAATTAACAACGACCAATTGGGGCTTTTGAATCTTTTCATCTCATCCAGATTCTGTTATGTCATTGTACTTGTTAATTAACAAGGATCTAAATAACTAGGGTATGAACTAGAAATATATTGAGAATCTAATTTCTATTCCAAGTATATAAAGAAAAAAAGTTAACAATCAACATTATTATTATTAATAATTAGTGTCATTTCATGTAAAGGAAGCACCCAAAAAAAGAGATTGAAAATAATTGAGATGATACAAAGATAATTAATGAGTTTTGAACTATCAATCTAGAGACAAAAAAATTAATTAAGATTGGTATCTCATAAAATCAAGCTGTTTTGTCACCACCTTGACCTTATTAAACAATACCAACACAAAAAAAAACAATAGAGCTTAATGACGAATTAATTGCAAGACTATATTTTACAATTTTAATCACTTTTTCATTTAAACTTGACATAATCACATTGGAATTATAAGAATGTTGGCGAAAACATAAAATTTTTATTTTTGCCCCATCTTCGAGAATTTTCTGTCCAAGAACTTCGCAAATACAACGGTAAATAAAGTCAATAGTGACTTTTTATGTTATGGAAAAGGTGTCCGTCTATGTATTTTTAAGGTGTGAAGGTTAACACGCAGAAGATTATTCTTGTGAACCTGACCATGGGAACTCTTAAGTGTTTAAGTATTATTTGTCTTCGTGATTTTATGACTTTTTCGAATAAACCAATACATTCCAAAATTATAAGTTGAAGAATGCAAAAAAAAATATTTTTAATTATGTATTTTTAACCATATTATAAATTACCAAGAAAAAATTGACTTACTTAATATCACCCTAAGGATCAATTACGTTGTTGATAAGTACTTGGAGAGTAGCAAATAAGGTCTATGATTACTGGATGATGAAAAGGTATCGGCGCGTAACGGTCTAGCATTTTAATTATATGTAACCATATGAAAGGACGTTAAAGCTCAGTGGCCACGAGACGCATATAAAACTCCTATTTAAGGAGGCGCTATCCTTCTATATATCGACTCGTAGGCTGTTTTGTATTTCAATTGAACTCAACCATTAATTGCGGAGAGTCATACAGAATGATGTTAATAGTCTCGGCTTCCTCACCAACTTGACTTGATCTCTCATCTACTTGTAGTCGAACTATTAATAGAAGAAATACGAGAACGACAAATAATTTCTTGTACTTTTTTCTATGGTCTTTGTACAGCTTTTGTATCACACCTCGTAAACACCTCGTATAGTATTTCTTCAGTCATTCTACGCGTTTCGCAACACACAGCGAGGTCATCCGGTCTTAAAGCCGGCTTAAGACATTTTCGTATCTACCCACATATCCGATAGTTCGATCCCGGTTAAACACGATTTTACAACCACTAAAGAGAAACACAATATAAGAGAATCAAAAGAAAAACTGCAATCATAAACAAATTCTAATATTGTAAAACGTCGCTATAACGCATTAATACGGGGAAGAGAGGGTTTGATGTAGTCAATAGTTCGTTGTATGAAATACTGTTTCAATGAATAATTTTAATGCACATAAATTTGAACGTTTCTAAAAGTTTAAATGGCTAGTCCAATGAAAAATATACAACTATTTAAGTTTGAATAACAACTAAAACTGGAATAATAGTAGCATTAGAACTAACTCTAGACTAACTAGGTTCTAGGTTCTTTAGTTCTAGGTCTAGTATTTGTCTAGTTTTAGTGAAAAATTTACAACAATCTAGCGCTGAATAACAATTAAAACTAGCACTACCGTCCTTGATTTATGCATCGTATAGACAACTCTGGGAATACCCCGAGAAGGGATTCTAGAAGTTGGATTCTATCTTTAAACTGTAACATTTATGTTTAAATATACTGGAGTGAGGGAAGTTAGACCCCCATTTTTCGATTTTTAAATTTTTCATTGTTGTGCTAGATTGTTCTAGAGTTGTTCTACATTGTTCCAAAGCGGCAAATAGAAAAAATAAAAACTCGACGAGAAAAACCGAAAAAACGGTTTTTTTTGACTAGCCCCATTTTTGGAAATATCAGACTTCCTTAGTTGTTCTGGGTTGTTCTAGTTATTGTTCTAGAAAATCAAAATTATGGGATACATCATTACGAAGTTATAACTAAAAATAGAATTGGCTGCCAAAATGTCTAGCTGATTGCTATGACCATAGTTTTTTTATTTATACATAAATGTAAGTACGGACATTATTACAGCTTCCAGTTTCTAAGTTAAATCACTAAGATGAAGATTAGAAACTACTACTGACGACATCGAGAAATTCGCACAATTCAAAAGCAGGAAACTGGCAATGACACTAAGTACACAGTGCGTCAGCAGGTATACAGGTGCAGAACGAAGATTCATGGGAATAAGTTACCTTCTTCTTCTTGGACGATGACGCCGGAAGGTTATTTGTAACTGGAAATTTTAGTGGGCTACAATTAGCTTATAAAGATCAATTCAATTACAAGATAAAATAAAAAGAAAAAGAAAAATTATTCACGCAACTAAAGCGAAATTCGCCGGGAATGTATTAATATGTAAAACTAACACGTATCGCGGAACGTGTTAATCCGAAATGCAAAGTTCGTTGTTGTTGGGTTGGTTGCCTTGTCGTGGTAGCAAACGTGGTATGGGAACGGGAATACCACCACAACGAGTAATAAACTAAAATAAGAAATTACCTCATGGAACCTGATTACCACAAATTACTTCGATATCGTTGGTTTTATTGGTTACGATCATTTAGACAATGAAAAATCCTTTCAGATGATACCAAAAACGAGTTTTTTTTTGTGCCCTTTCAAATATAATTATTTAATCAACAATCTTGTTTTCGCACTAGCAATATAAGATAATTAATGACCGTTTTAACCGGTGAAGAACCGTACCTATACACAAAAGGGCCTTGCAGGCAGACGCAGCGGGCACGCGGAAGTCACTTCATCGACCGCAATCAGCGGCATAGTCGAAGAACCTAATGAAGACGTAATAACTAGATTCCCTATAAGCGCCGAACGGGTCTCGGCTTCCACCTCGTTTTTTTCCTTTCTACTTCTTCTTTTCCAACTTCAACTTGGTGCGAGCAGAGACCACGGTGTCTCTAATCCTGAGAAATGACAGAACCGGTAGCGACTGAACCGCAACAGACAACCACATTAAGATACAAAATGACAGTCAAACACGCACAATCGACTCCGGTGTACCTACAGGAAATGGAAAACCACAATTGGCTTTTGACAATTGAACACATAGTTTTTAACAGAAAGGGAATTTCGAAGACCTGGAATAAATGAGGCAGTTTCTAGGTCGGTTACCTTGATTCTATTTACTCCAATATGCAAAAAGCTTGGTACTACCAAAGTAGGAGGAGTGAAGTGTAATTTCGACTTCCAGGATGTGCACGCTATTTTATCTGTCGAATCGATAGTAGTTAAAGCAAATGAGCCTGATCGAGATTCTTGATTAAATTAAAATTGCGAATATCACATATCGCGGTTATTTTTAAACTTAGTCCAAGTAAATGGAATTGGATATTTTAAACCCAGTTATGTTATTACACAGTTGGTTATAGCATTGTAACAATAATTATTGACAATTGCATTTGAAGGTAAATTATGGTCAACAGGCCACCAACTGTTCAATTCTCTCTAATCTTTGTCAGTGTACCGCGAATATTGCATAACAGTACCGGTAATAATTCAAATAGCTTCTAAACCAACACACACAATTCCCAAATAGCTTTCTTTCCATATCTTCCTCAACAATACTAAATGTTGGTCGTCGTATTCGAATATACATTTAAACCGCGACTCAGTCATCAAAGAATATGTACAGTTAACTTCCTGTTTTCGTCACGTATGATTAGAATTGGAAGTTAGATGGGAAGTTAGTTTCTCGATTATCTTTCGTATGCGGACTATTAGGTAGTAAATTGACCGAATAATAAGATATGAATTATTTATATAACAAAATGTCAAAGTTAAAAGAAACAATATGAGGTAAAACAAAATTTAATCACTCATAATCGTGATTATACGTTTTCTTCCAATAATAAATTATTATGAGGATTAGTTGTAGACTGTCCGTGAAAAAAGAAGGGATTGAACTGTAAACTTATAGAAGAACAGGGCATATTCCACTTTTTCAAATCATTCAGGGAAATTTGTTGAGATAAATAATGTTTATACTCGAGTACTGACAAATATCATATATTATTACTATAATATATACACCCTAAAAAGGCAGCGAAAGGTGTTAGTGCCATCGTAATTAAGGAGTCCATGGAGCATAATCCAAAACTGAGAGACCTCACTAAATGCAAACATGAACGAAGCAGGACGCATCCTATTATTGTTAGAAAAAGCAAGAAGACCAGTATCAGGAGTAACCAAGGAGTCATTTTCACTATTAGTAAAAATGTATTGATAACATTAGGATCTGACA